CCGATTTTTAATCTGAAGACAAGCTCTAAAGACTGTTCACAGTATCAGGTTTACGGTATGAAATGCTACAATTTAAAATAACATGAATGATCAATGACGGAGGGATGCAAAAATCAAGAGAAATGATGTAGCCTAAACCATTTTGTTGTTACTATGTACTAGGAACTTTTTTCACAAATGTTTAAGTACATAGATATTATGTAAATTGGTAAAACCTGCATTGCCACTTAAATTCAGTTCAGTATTTACTGATTACTGCATTAAGCTAGTCATTGAACAGAACTCTTAGCATCCTACATGCTAATGGGTTTACCTAAAACAGCTCAAAGACCAATATTTGTCCTCAAGCCTGGAGCAGATGTCAGTAAAAATTCCCAAATTGGAATTAAAACTATCCCAATTCATGTAAATATAGAATGTATGGGAGGGAGGGATTTAATGCTTTTTTACATAATTGCAATGTTAAACTTGGTAAATTTATGAAAGTAAGAACTTTCCAGAAGTCCCAATTTGGAACCAAATAATGATTTGCTTGCCAAGGGCACTCGGTTTAGAACCTTGGATAAACCCCTCACTAATTAATGACTCCAGAAATAAGTAAAATTGAGTTGATTGAGCCGATGACTATAGCGTAAGGAAATTGTTTTCATAACTACATTCACACTATATATGTAGTCAATTGTGTTTTGTCATTGATGCAGTGTTTTTGTCAATACATGCCTGAATGCATTATGCATGCTGTAACAATGCACAATGCTTGAATACTTGAGTAGCTCTACACATGTACAGTTCCCCTACAGACAAGCTGACTACATCAGATTGTCTATTCTAAGACAAGTACCGTATTCAACGTAATAAGCGCCCAGGGCGCTCTTAAAATTAGAAATAGGGGGCGCTTATTAGAATATTATTTTAAGTTGAAAGATCGTAAATTTTGTGGTTTATGCTAACAGCCTGAAATGTTTACATGCGACGGATGTATTTTTCCAGAATTTAATTGCCAATAATTAAGGGTGATATAACACACGAGTGCGTATTATACACGAATAAAAAAGTCCTGTGTACATTGATCAATCGGAAGGGGTGCTGATTGGGATTGTTCACTAGCCAATATATTAGCAAATATCGCCGTGGGCGCTTATTAGAGCGGGGCGCTTATTACGTGGAATACGGTAGTTTGTTTTACCAACACTTCTTATGTGGAGATTCCAGATGGGATCTTTTCATCATCACAATACTGTTAGTGGATTTTTCCCTAACACTGTTTATAACAGTGGGTGTGTCCCCTGCCGTGATGTTGTTGGAATAATGCTGAAAGCGGTGTAAAACCATACTCCAGGCCTCAAAGTTATGGCTAAAATAAACGCCAATGCGACCGAAATTTCAATTTGTCTACTGTCTAAAATTCAGAGGTAGCCAAATGACCACCTTGAAAAATATCTTGTGGCAACTAACTTTATTTGCTACAAAAAAATAAACATGTCTGCTACTAATTGTACTCGCAAATCATTCCTCCTAAAGTCAACAATGCAATTAATTAATTAATTATTAATGCAATTAGTATTTTTGGATAAGCAAGGATATCCCTATGTTATCCAGTAACATAAATTGCATCATTGCACAAATAACAAAACTCAAGTACAGTTTCCACTAATATACAATTCCAAGACTAGTGCTATGACTTGTACATGTAATAGTTATTTGATAAAAGATAATTTCAAATGCTTTTGACTACCTACAATATTGGCTTGACTTCTTGATTTTACCACTGGCTACCCGGAAAAAACTACTTGTAGCCGTATGGCTACTTGTTAAAAATTTAAACTTTGAGGCCTGTACTCACTCACTCACTATAACAGTGGATGAAACGTACATTAAACGAGTGATTGTGGCCAGTTTTCCCCCCAACTTTGGAGTTTACTGTTTTGACCTTTAACAACAGCAGTTGCTGTGGTTTTTCACACTTTCTGATCACAAGCACAAAGCAGTAGTGTTAAATATTCATGATATGGATTGGGAACATGTTGTATACCAGCGCATGGTCATGTTTCTCCTGTGCTAATGGAGGAAATTGCTTTCCTTTCTTTCCAGCTGGTTTCAGCTGTAATTAAATTATGGATCTAAGATATTTTCTTGAGCTCTAATTGTGTGAAACATGTACAACAGGTAAGACAGGTGTAGCTAAATTAACTTGCAATGTACAATTTGGATAACATCTGATGTGGAATAGACACACCTGTGACAACAGCTGTTGTACGTGGGTTTATTTTTCCCCTGTTGTTTGAGTTTGTGAGACATCGAAACACACGGAAACCTGTTGCCACTGAGGAGAAATACGAGAGATGACATCCGAATCTACACGACTGTGAAACTATCTACATGCTCTATTTAACAATGGGTTGAGAATTCTTGACTGGACAATCTGAAAACATAATGTGATAAATCATTTTTGTACCATGTTCTTTAAAATACCCTTGAGTTTCGTATTATGCAAAATGTCACAATAATACATTCTGACATTTTCGTTCTGTTAAGCCATGAACATGTTTAAAGACGTGGTACGATAAGGATATTTATGGCCCACTAGAATTGTCATTTGTTACAGTACTGTTTACTTTGTTATAATGGAATAAAAATTATACATCAGTCTCATCAAAATCAGATCTTAGTTCTCGCTACCGCTAAACAAAGAACTGAGGACGTCCCATTAAGGGTCACGTCAGAACGACCTTTCATCTGACCGATCAGAGCGTTGCTTAACAGATCATGAAAGTGACAGTCAGTATGTGATTTCATTTCATGCAACCTCGGAAACTTTAACACAGGGTATTCCCAACGATAGTTATGGGCTTAATGACTGAATCCATATAATCTAGACCATATATTAGACATTCCAGAATGTTCTTTTGTTCAGGTTTCAAATTTTTAATCGAGAATTTGTCAAAATATGTTTTAAAGCATAGTCGCCAATTAGAAATTAGTGACGTAAAGCACTAGAAAGCTGCCTTCTGATTGGCTATTGTCCACTTCTTGTCAGTCATTCCATTGGTCGGTCAAAGTTCGTGCAAGGTGGGTCTGACATGACCCATAATGAGATGTTCTCAGATCTTTGTTTAGCTGTAGCGCGAACTAAGGTTGACATCAAGCCAAATGGTCGACATCAAATGGTTGACATCAAACCATATGTTTTCTTTCTCTCAAAAGGGTTTGAATTCTGGCTTATTCAAGTACATAAGAATGGCTAAAATATGCATCTGTTATGAAAATCAGTTTGGGTCAACGACTCGCTCATGTTCAAATGTCAATTAACCCTGAAAACCTTAGTCGGGCATACAGACCCTGATACAAATATATCCAATACAGCCCATGCAAGTCTATAATGTTTGGCAAGTCTAGATTACTGCAGTATCAGGAAATGAAGAAAGTCTCTGGGCTCCTTTTAATTATATCTTTATTATGATAATTTCACATCTGTTTTTTTTCTGTAAGATATATTCATTTCAGAGACTAGATGTTAGTCTATGGAAGCCTCTCCGGTCTATCTACACATCTTAGCTTAACATGTGCATTTCGTGTTATTGTGAGCCCCAAACATGCATGTGTTGAAATGAAGTCCTGTTCTCATTCGTCTGAACACATCCGATATGTTCCAGTTCCCAAATGTTTTGCATATTTCTTCAATAATGCAGATCCTGTGGGCCAGAAAGGGCCTTTATCCTACCCCATCCTTTACATGAACCGTTTTGTATGAAACATAACCTCACAATAAGATAGTCATTATGTGCCACAAAGTATCACTGAGCACTGAAACTTGGTAAATCACTGCAGAAAAGGGGGCAGCTCTCAAGTGTATCATTCTTTTATTCACAGTAGTGGGATGGCTAATAAGAAAAGAACATTAACTGAGCTGTAATGCATATCCATGAATGCATGTATTAGATTCAGCAAAAAAAAAAAAAGCTGCGTTTTGTAATAAAGTTTGCTTGGCCCAATGCATGACCGAGCTTGATTCATGCAGGGAGGGAGTATGAGCGAGAGACAACAGAGGATCCTTGGTGTGTTTGGATGTTCCTTGATGCTTGAAACACATGTATGAACCTTCACGACCTAAAATGTACCTGACACAAAGGCATGTTGGCCATACAAGTGTTTAGTTCAGCTATTCAGCTATAGTTGTTCACTTCTTACAACCAAGTTTGAAGGTTTGTCAGTGCACTGGGGGCTGCCAAGTCTGCATCTCCCCATCTTTTCGTCATGGTTGTTGAATGTCAAATCTTCGTATAAGCAGTTGGGAGACATCTTTGTTTGATTTGTTGTTTGAGCTTGTGTCAGGATGTCGCTGTTGTTCAGTTAGGTCCGGGATGCCGTGGGAGTAGGATATGGAACAGGTTCTGTCCATCCCATCATTAATCATGATGATGGAACACTTCAGCCATGGTGAATGTTTGCTTGTAGATTAGTGGTCTCTCCAGGACTGAAGGTTCATGTGAGCTCAAAGCCTGGGTCGTCCATGATTTTGTCCTTTTGTTTTCCGCCCATAAACTGTCATCTTCGACAGGGGCGGTCGGGTAGCCTAGTGGTTAAAGCGTTTGCTCGTCATGCCGAAGATTCGGGTTCGATTCCCGACATGGGTACAGTGTGTGAAGCCCATTTCTGGTGTCCCCCGCTGTGATATTGCTGGAATTTTGCTAAAAGCGGCGTAAAACCATACTCACTCACTCACTCACTCATCTTCGACGAAATTTGCATAAAGGGATGAATCTGAGACTTGAGAATGTTGAATAGATGTTTGATTGTACAAACCAGTATTCTTCAGATGCGCAGAGCAGTCATAAGTTGTGTCCATGTTATTACCTGGTTGATACAGGTGTCATGATAGTCTTGTCCTCATTCGTGCAAGTGGCCCCAGTCAAATATTGATTTGAGCTGTCAATGAAAAGCAAGCAATGAACATTTCTGAGTGTACAATTTAGTTTAAGATTATTTTTTTCTCTTTGCAGCCATGGAAGAGACCACTGAAAGGAATGGCTTCACTCCTATTAAACTACCTCCTAGTTCCGGCCCAAGGCCACATCGGTGTGAAGTCTGTCAGCGTTCTTTCCGAGAGATCGCCACCTTGAGGAAACACGAACAACTTCACCGAGCTGACAGACCCTACGTGTGTACGACATGCGGCAAGTCCTTTCTGTGGTCCTCCAATCTCAAGGTGCATGAACGAGTTCATACGGGTGAACGGCCATACAAATGCAAAATCTGCCATCGTTGCTTCACACAGTCAAATGATCTGCGTCGCCATGAGCGCAATGTCCACATGCGTGGCAAGCTTTACGGGTATAAAAGCGCTGGCAGACCAAACAGTCATGTTAACCTTGCTGCCTACCAAGCTTTTGCTCTCCAACAGAGGGCGCTTTTACAGCAAGCACTGACATACGAGAGCTTCATGCAGAATGCGGCTGCTGCATCTCATGTAAACTCCTTCCATCCTCACCCTCATCCACAAGCGATGATACAGAAACCGCATGAAACAATGTCTACCTCAGTCCCTAATCACAACCCCAAGGAAACTACCTCTGTGAGCCCAATCAAGTTGGAGCAAGTAACACCTCCTTCGACTCCAAGCGAGACAGATCCGGAAACACGGAACGGCCTGGAGAAGCGCTCCCTGTCCACGACCTCCCCTCACACCTCGGACAGCCTTCAAAGCCCCCTACCATCCAGCTACACGCCTCTGTCTGCTGGCTCTGCAGGTATGATACAGTCGCCTCCCCTACTTATGGCTTCGTCTGCGCCTCCAATGACATACGGGAAAGAGGAATACAGTAAGAATTGCTATTCTCCCTCGGTTCTGCAAGCTCGCAGAGCAAGCGAAAATGGTTATTCTCCCTACCACTATGGAAACGGCAACCTGTCACCTCATGGCTATGTGGCTAACCAACACAATCTACCTCAAGCCCATGGTCACATCACAACCTCCGAGAGCAGTCAGTCACAGGAAGACAAGACTTCTTCCTGTGACAAGGTAATGGACCTCAGCATGGGGAGCAAGAACAGCAGCGAGACACACGAATCGGATCTGGATGATGCAGACTTGAAGGCCAGTAATGGAGAACACATGCCACCACCAAAGACTCCCAGTGTGGAGTCGGAAAGTGACGGGAAGCGGGATGTGACAACTACCTCAGTGAGTCCGATGGCCGACTCAGGGATCCACCACTGTGAGCACTGCAACATATTCTTCTACGACTTCACAATGTACCATCTACATCAGAGTCTGCACTCCCCTTACCAAGAGCATCCCTTCTGCTGCCCGTCCTGCCAGAAGCGTTGCCAGGACCGGATTGAGTTCATGTTCCACATCGTGTGGCACGTAAAGTACCCCAACACCATCCCCAACTATCAGCCCTTCAAGGAGAGTTACCTCACCTCGTGAGAAGCCCTCTGCAAAATGGGTAAGTCCTTAGACTTTGGAAGTCTCCCCAGCCCTGGGCTGAATGTCGTTGCATGACAACCTCTATCTTCATTTCGTAATATGTTTTTGATTCTTTGTCAACAAGCCATTACCGTGGTGAGTCAGTGTAGTTACATGCTGCTTTTAGCAATATTCCAGGAACCGAGATTCGCTGTGCAGAGTTGCGTCCCTTGGGCACGCCAGAAACCTATGATTGTGGGTTCGAATCCCGGTTCGCCCCGATTATGTTTCTAGGTTTGTCAGCACCATACCCGTGCTCGTGGGTTTCACCGAAGTGGTAAACGTCTGAGACCTGCATCACTTCAGGCTTTCCTCCCACATTAAGCTGACACGCCGTGATATAACTGGAATACTGTTAAAAGGGGCGTTAAACCCAACTCACTCACTCACTCTAATGGTGTTATCAAAGCGGGGAATCGACACCAGGTGTCTTCAGCATAAAATGATAGTTCTTTTACTGTCATTCATCGCTATCATAGACATAAAGTAGTGACTGAGTGAGTGTGCAAGTGAATGAATGAATGTTCTGGAAAAGCTGTAACAATGTCAAGGCGGCCTGAGAACAGTCCGGTCATCAAAGTTGCCACAATTTTCTTCATAGTTGCATCCTCTAGACATAGGAGAATCCTATGATCGGGGTTTCGATTTCCAGATTGGCCCAGAGTTACGTTCTTTGTTTGTCAGCACCATACCTGTGCCATAAATATGCATTATGTTTTTCTCCAAACATTAACCTTACTCACTGTGATGCAACTGAAATACTGTTCAAAGCGGCGTAAAACCAAACTCACTCACTCACTCAAAACCCTCACCTGGAATAATGGACCAGACAAGGACACAGTCATAAAGGCCACATTTTGGAATAAATAGTTGGTTATACTAACTCCTATAAAAATAGTATTTTTCACTGTCCTGAAGATTTTATTTTGATACTATATTGCAGTCACGTATGAATAAAACCAAACTATGGCTTAAGATGTTAAACAGAAGAATATGAGGAAGCTTGGTGTATGTTATTCCTTTAAGCTGGATCAAGGTAAAATTACTAAATTATCTGCCATTTGCATTAATTACTTCCTTGTGAGAGCCTCTCATATGAAGGAACAGGGTGTAGTCATTAACACTCCTTGGAGGATTTCGTTATGAATTACATGACATCAAGACAATAAGAAGATAAGATGTCTCCTTGAAGAAAGAAATTAGTAGTATTAGGGCTGGTTAATGTGATAGAAACTAACAGGATAAGTCAAAAAGAATTGACTGTAGGGAATTGAAATTTGATGCAGATTATCATAGGAATAAATGAGTATTTGTAGAATATGGTCAAACCTGCAACCTGCAACCTTCCTTAGCTGACTGAAAAATATATTTTTTACGGCTTTAATTTTAATAGCCTCCCAAATCGGCATATCTGTCCAACCATAAATATTTAATGGTTTGCCCCCAAAAAACTGTTTGATTTCCTTCTATGGTTTGGGGTCATACTGCCGACGAAACTGTTGTTTTACAAGTTTGAACTTTTATGCAAAACGATAACTGAATCAGCCATGGGTTTTTTTCCAAATTGATCACAAGGGATGATACTGGGAGTGATCAAATTAACCCCTATGTGTATCGTTCCATGTTTCTTCGATAACATCATTTGCTATTTTGCAAATCTTTTGTGTAGGTGTAAATCATGAAATGTTAATATGAGCATTGACCTTTCTGGATACGTAAGCTTGATACTCCTTGTAGAAAGTTTACATTAAATTTTTTCATGCCAATGCCATTTGACACTGACACCATCTGCTAATGTATGTAACCTACACATTCACTCACTTGATGTCTTCATGATGACGAGATGATGAAGTATTCATCATCATTATCACCAATAAAATACTTGGAAACTTGAGCTGATTGTCAGCTACAGGAAGGATTATGCTCTATTCACACGCTCCTGCCCAGGTACTTGTTATGGTTAGGTAGCCCATCAGTCAGAAACTCAAAGATATTGAACCAATTCCCTATATGGACACAATGTTTTGATGCACATATCGTGGTGTTATTGCTTGAAGCAGTGTAAACCTGTCACACCCACTGTAATGTATTATGAATTAGGTAATATATATCGATGAACATCATTTGGAGTAGCCTAGTGGTTAAGGTGTTCGCTCATCATGCCCATATCGTGGTGATATTGCTGGAAGCAGTGTTAACCCGTCACACCCACTGTAATGTATTATGAATTAGGTAATATATATAGATGAACATCATTTGGAGTAGCCCAGTGGTTAAGGTGTTCGCTCGTCATGCCCATATCGTGGTGATATTGCTGGAAGCAGTGTTAAACCGTCACACCCACTGTAATGTATTATGAATTAGGTAATATATATAGATGAACATCATTTGGGGGAGCATGGTGGTTGAAGCATTCGCCTGTTACGCTGAAGACACAGGTTCTGTGCCCCAAATGGGCACAGTGCATGAAGCCTACTTCTGGTGGCCCCTGTTGCGATATTGCTGGAATATAAAAAGCAAATATAAAAGCAGCGTAAAACCATACTCACTCACTCACTCACTCACTCACTCACTCACTCACTCACTCACTCACTCACTCACTCACTCACTCACTCATGACAGCGAGTCCTTTCAGAATTGTTATTTTTCAGTTCCTTTTCAATTCATATGGCATTATTAATACATGTATAACTTTCATGCATTTGTGCATAGCGGACATCATGGCACACATGTGGTTGCGCATATTTAGTGGCACAAAGAGCTGTGATGCAATGAGGACACCCACCCCCGACCCACACACAATAAAAGTGCAATAATCTTGAACGCGATGTTTTACCCCATTTCAGCTCACCTGTGATGCATTAAATGTTCATTGAATTGTTGCATCCCCGGTGCTCAGAACTTTTAATTTATACTAATTCTGCAACATCTGTAAACGAATTACATAATTGTTATTTTCAAAATGTCTGCCATTGCTGTCTTGTAATCCCATTGGAAGACTTCAGTGGTATTGTATTATTGATTTTGTTATTTTGTTACTTTTACAGGTTGGTCGTGCAAGACGGGACATAAAAGCAGGAAAGTCTTACTTTGAGCGTGCAAGGGAGCTAAATCACATAGCACGGCTAGTAACCTATGACAGGCATAATTTTGTTTGCAGGATGGAAAGGAAAATATGGTGCATTTATTATACAAAATTTTCTTCAAACTTTCATATTAGATTTATTCCTTCTGTCCGTTTTGTTATGCTAGTCATAGTAACAAAAACTTGCCATGTCTATAATTACTTTGAATTCTATTCATTGAAGAGTTCCTTGTTCAAGGGAGACAATCATGTATTGGTTGAACTTGTATTGATAAGGAGTTGTGACCAAAAATGCAAAACATAGGTGTTTGGTTGCAAGATTACAGTGATAAAATGCAGGGGCGGTGACCCTTTTGTACATGTTTTGGTGTGCCATTAGAAATTTGTGTTGACTATGGAGTGAGATTTCATGAATTTTGTGGTTCCGGTGTCTTGTTTACAGAGAAGTAAGAAATATCTCGGATGGTTGTCTTTAAAGTTAGTTGTGCTAGCAACTACCGGTGACAGAATACATGACACAGAGCTTTTGGGTTGAGATTCGTAAATGATGGAAGTTTTCGCGTTCCCCTTTTTTCATGTGTCTTGTCAGTTTTTTGTTTTAAGGACAAATCCTTTTTGTTTTGTGCTTTGGTTTACATTCTCTGCCTTTATGCCAGGGACGTACATTACTAAGATATTCCCAATATTTCCTTGACCCTGTCATCAACAGTCAGTACCTCAGTGGTAACGATTTTCCTGCATTTGAAGCTACCTCAAGGATGTTTAAGGAAGTTTGTTATTTAAAAAATTGAATCATGAATGAAGTACGGGTACTCATTACTCTACCAGAAGTTGATATGCTCATTCTTTAGGGGATCCAGGTTGAAGTGTTCTACCTCTGTACAAAGCTACAAAGCTTTTTAATAAGTCAGCTGTTTTAGTTTGTTAACAATATAAACACAACATATTTTCTTTCGTTTATTGCATCTTGTTATTCAACAAATTGAATATTTTATATGAACTGAAGAAACTTTCAAATTCCAATTTTTTCACAATTATTCTGTATTATTTTGTTTCTGTTTACAAAATATGTTCTCATATGGTATGGTTGTACATTCATTATAAAAAATGTATACTATCTGAAATGTCACAGTTGACAATTTCGCCTGTTCTACAGCCATGTTTCAGATTGTCAACTGAATGCTATGTCATAAGCAAGATTAATCATGTGGTAAATTTGTATGAATATGTTAAGAATAATCATAATCTTTTTAAGTTGGAACGGTATGGAAGAAAATGTTTTTACGGATGGTTCAACAATCTTAATCTGTTTAATAGATTTACATATATATATGTACATTTACTTTAAAAGAGCTATGTTGATGAATATAGAGGTTTCATTTTATTAAAAATTATTATAAATTTTAAAACATTGCTAAATTGCAAAGTATTTTATAAAATGAATCCAAATTTGGTGCTAATATATCAACAGATGATCCATCTGAAGAAACAATTTTCTGAATATTGTCATTCAGTCTGAACTAAATGTTCTCAATCGTTGATAATTCCTTACCGTTCCATTATTTCTCTAAGCTGATGATCCTACTCATCATCCTATACAAATTTCCCTTTCTTGACAGGGATTGTTAGCCCATACAGATCAGGGACTTTTCCATGCATGCATAACACACTCTCAGTGTATGTAATTCAGGCTACATCTGTGTTTGTGTGGATGAGGAACAGCTATTCTGAAAACTACTTATCATATCTAAGTATATTTCCTCATGATCTCTTGAATTTCTGCTGATTAATAACACATGTACTTGTCATACAAGGCAATCCCTGACAGCCGACTGTCAGGCAGGGAGCCAGGATACAGGCATGTGTCATTATAAAGGCAGGAAATGGTAGTTACAGGAATTTGACCCTGAAATTATAAAAGGCCAACTTGTTTTACTGATTCTTCTACTGTTAAATTTCAAAAAGAAATTGCAGAATAAAATGAAAGTATTTACTTCAATTAACAGTCCAGTCAAAAAAATACCACATGTTTTAAGTAAACAGCAAGAGACTTATTTTATTTATAAACCATTCAAAATTTCTTAAGTCAAGAAACATCAAATATTTTCATTCTGTGAAAGGATGTAATGAAAAGTAAACTAAAATTATGGAATATCTGTGTAAAATAAGTTTCTTTTTAACATCGAATTGTGTAGAACAACCTGCCGTCAGTCTAACATGTTGTCGAGGGTACTTGGCTCACCTGATGTGATCGAGTGAGCATGTGCAGGCATCTCTCGTCATTACCCACAAAGCACTGCTCTTCTTCATGCTGTGTAAGAACTTTTATGAAATGTGCTAAAAACTTCATACAGGTTTAATGAATAATGTTATAAGAAGATTTTTGAATATACAAATATTATTTTCTTCATAAAACAGTTACATTGACTGCATTTTGCCTGACATCTAGAGTGAACTAAGGATATTCTATCTTTTATTACTTCCAAGGTCTGATTGAATTTGAATTTTAAATGAAACCTATAATTTTGTTTCCATGTTTTGGAGAATATGTCACAATTTGACTGAAATCCACATCACATTTCAAAGTTGTCACCTAATTTATGAATTGCTTCAGATTTCTTCATTTGGACCATGAAGTTGCATGTGAGCTGCAGTACTTTAAACATGATAAGTGTATTGGATTGTTACGAAAACTATCATACCTCAAATTTATAGGTAATATATTAATATAACTTATTTTTAATGTCTTCATTTTTTTCTTTTCTTATTTGAGAAGTCCTCAGGAACATGACATTCATTATTGAGCTCAGGATCATGAACCGTTATTCCTACAAAGGTGCAGGGCTGCCAGCAATTCAGGGAGAATCACAACATAGCTTTATGAGAGTATTTTGTATCATATTTTCAACAACATTAATTGAAATGATTTCATAATGACATTATGATTGTCTACAATAATAGGAAAACTAGTGTGTTTAACTTAAAGAGTATTATGTGGTTTAGTCTTCAAATGCTTTTTAATCAAAAATTTGCTGAAAACGAAATACGTTTTTTAATTTTGTGAAATTTTCCGCTTTCTTTTATTATTGTTAGGAAGACAAGCTAATCTTCTGACATACTTACTCCAGATCTATTAGAGAGTAGAAACATTAATATCAAGATTTTTTTCAAATGAGTATGTAGACTTACTTTTAAATTGATGTTGATGTTTATTGTTAACTTTTAAAACTTTGATGTCATGATGTTATACACATGTGTAGAAACAATTCTTTATTTAAATTCTTTACTATACACTAGAGTAAGTTTATCTGTCAATTGATTTGAAGTTTGTTCTTAACTACCTCAATTTCCACACCAATTACCATGAAAAGTGTTTGACTTCTTTTGATGAATTTCATGAAAAGTAGCAATGTCGCGTTTCATGTTGGATGTTGTAAGTGTGTCCTATTAATAAAAAAAAGCATAGTAGACAATTAGATATTTCAATATCTTGAGTTGGGACTATCCCCGAGTGGGAAGTGGTAGCACTGTTTGATCTCAGTGTAACCGTGTTCCTCCGTGTTCTATCTTTCTGTGGATGTAGATTAAGGTGTATGTACATATCCCAACCTTTCTCCAACACTTGGACGAAAGAAACTTGACCTACCTCAGTAAATTTCAAATGGATTTCAGGTATTTTCTTTCCTTTGATTATGTATTGCATCTTGTTCTAGAGCATATGTGCTTTTAGTATTGAAGAAAAATGCTGTGAATACTTGCTATTTGTTTGTATTTCAGTATAGCATGTCTCCATGGTAACTATTTATAGTAGAGTGCATTCGTAGTAAGGAAAATGATAGCAATTCTAACTAATCAGTACCACTGTCTTTTGTTTTTGAATTTAGAAACTATTATAAAAAAGCAATCCATCTGAAAATATGCCCATTTCTGTTTAATTTACTGCAACTTTCCTGCCCTAGTGTTAAGGAGAAACAGTTATCACTATAAACTGGAGTTACCATGGAAACATCTCTACTGATTGACCAGCATTTTAGTATTTACATCATGCATAGTGCTGTAATATATGCCTTTTGCCTTACCTTTTGTTTGACCTTTCAACTTGAATTTTGTGGAAACACCCAAAAAAATATTTGAACACATGTGTCCATCTCAATGTGTATACATGAACTGTTTTGTGCTGTAGGGTTGAAACTTTGTATTTTGTGCTATCTTGCTCAATGATACCGTGATGCAAATAGCATAAGATTTTGGAGGATTCTCCAATTTTTATTTACCATTGTACTGTTTGACTATTTCCTTCGTTGTACACATTGTTACTGAAATGTTAAGTTAGGTTCATAGGCCGGTCAAATCTACCTAATTGCCATATTACAATTGTAACTGATTTCGTTAAACTGCTCAACATGCAGTGGATGTAGGTATTAAATCCAAGTTTCTAATCAGCCTCACTGGAATTAACAACAATTTTCTTTAATATTTGCTTCTCTTTAACGTTTAACGCCTTATGCATATGAGTCCTAAGGCCTATATTGCATGTATACCAAAGACTAGGCCTACATTGTTCTGATGATGTTGTTATGGCGACAGTGGGTATGTAGGCCCTTGTCCTAGTAGATATATTTTGTTAGCCAAGTCTGTTGTTTACGATCCCATTGTTCCAATAGGGGTTAAATACAGCATGCTTCTATGCTCTGCCAGGGACAGACTGTCCTCTGCTCACATAGACTACACTTTAATGCAATTATTTCCTCGAAAGTTTATCAAATAAAACTTACTGTCAAGTAAATTGGATTTCAAAAATTTAGTTCTTGAACTGGATAATAATTTTCTGGACTTCAAAACCATTTGATTTTCTTTTTTTGAATTTTGAAAAGTATAATTTTTGCATGAGTGTAGATCTATAATCAAATCAAATGTATCGCCCATGGGGGCATCTCTCAGGTTAACAAAAATCAGGATTGATTTACACATATAACTATATAGAAATACCTCTCTTGTACATGGTACTGTGTGTTCCATATTATAGATGTTCATGTATTTTACCTTACCTGTATTTACAATGATATTTCAACTGTGTACATTGATCTAATAGCAAGGCTATGTGTGTAACCCTTTCTGCTTCCTAGAAGGCAAAGTTTATGGATATTTATGGCTTTTACTAGATATTACCTATTTCTGTTCACTGTGAGACAAACACTGTTAGGAAAGGGACAATGTCTGGTGTACAGAGACTTGAAGGAAGGGGAGGTTATCCTTGTCTTACCAGGGGAGATAACTATGTTTGTATCACAGAGGAGAGCTTGTGCATTTACATATGTGATACTTCAAGTAGCTCAGCGGTTCAAGTCTTGAAAAATATGCATTTGTACAGCTATTTGTATTGTCTAGTTCGCTTCATCACATTTTCCAAATTATTATCATGTGTCATAGTTGTAGGAACATTGTTTGTGTTATACATCCCTAGGGCATCAATAGTGCTACATGATCAGGCTTGTTCTGGGGAACAAAGAGCACCAATGTTCAGTTGGATATGATACTGTTCAGCAGAATCACCATGTATTCATCACCCTTTAAACTCAATTACTCACGAGTAATGAATTAGATTTAAAATCTATTGAACTTCATTCCCAGTCAATTTGGATTTCATGTTTTTTCTTTCGAAATCAAACTTTTTACCAAAGTAGCGCTTTCAACAGAATGTCAAGAGTCTCATGTCGTTTTTACGTGACAATAGAGCAATCAGCAAGCCTTCTTTAAATGGAGACTGTTCACTAGAATACGTCGTCACAGCAAGTTGATTATATATTTAGGCCTGAAGGAATATTTGCTCAGCCCAGGGTACCTGAATCAATATACTTTCATAATGGTATACGTGAAGTTAATTTATGTTTTTAATTTTATCCTGCATACTTGAAGCAATTTTTTTGACTGAAATGGTGATGGTACAGAATGGGAAGTAGATAAAGAACAACTGGACATACAGGTGTGTTTGTTTAACAGAAGAAGTCTGTGTCTACGATAACAAGATCATTCATGACCATTGTGTATATGTCATCCATAATCACATTGTAACCAGCCTCGGAGTCACTCAACTCTCAGTTTGTGTTCTCAGAACGCGTTATGAGGAACAGTGGCTATTCTCGCTGTCTAATGAATTCAGGGCGTGATTGGAGCATGGCCAAATGTTTGTGAATGAAAACCGGTGAATGAGAGGTCATTTATAGGGCAGGCCCTCTTCAGTTAATTTGTTACTGAACTAGAGTTAAAAAAACATACTTTTGTTCAACTTGTTTACTTTGTGTTCATTTTGACTGACCTGATAATCCCAGTTGATGGCTTAGGAAACAAGCTCATTCAAAGAAATGGAATGATCCTTTCCGTTTCAAGGTGATTTAGGTTGTATTATAGCACCTGTGGTTATATTTTTTTGTTATTTGATAATTGGGGTACAACAAAGTTTTAAAAAAAGGCAAATTAGCTATTTGGGAACATAGCTTGATGTTGGTTCCATTGAGTTTGTTTTGGTGTTTGTGAAACAGCAGATTTGTTAATCAAGATATTTTACTGTTTTTTTAAATATTACTTTATGATTACCCCAGGTAATTTGAAGAAGTCTCGTGACCTGTTTATTTTGTGGTTTTTTTGTTTGATTGATTTTGAGTGAGTGAGGGTGACTGGGTGAATGTGTCTCTTCAGCTGAACCAGACTCATTTTGTAATGTGGCCAATCGATTTTTAGTTCTTGTTTTATAGATCAACCACTTGCAAAAGCCAAATATGACGGAAGCCCTGATAAAAAACAAAACCAGTAGCCCGTTTAACAGGGAACCTAGTCCGCGATTGTGATTCAGTTTCATTTGAGTGATAAGATGATTTCAAGTCTGAATTTTCCTTCTTGCATATTTAGACAGTGATGACAGACAAAAGACCTTATTACCATCTCTTGAAGCCAAACTGGCTATTAGAGGAGCCCTGCCTGCAGGTCTTGAAGAAATATTTAAAAACAGAAATCTTTAAAGATGTTATCAGCACATTATCACATGATCTGTACAAAATAATGGGGGAAAAGATCTATTTATTTGTGAAAGTTAATCATATTCATGTCATCTTCAAATTTGAAGATGCTTTGGGTTTTTTAGTTAATCGGTATTATTTTTGTCTAAGTTGATAAATTTCTTGCAAGGTTTTGAAGTTTCGGCTTTCATCGGGCTGGTAGAGTTGAAGAAGAATGATTGGTGGATGTTTTTTTAATGTTCAATACTCAGTTATTGTTTATTTTCAGACATTAACAATTTTTCAATATATCAAAATTGAAAATTATTATGGGGCTGATTTTTGTTAAGGGATTAATTTGACAAGCGTTACCAATCTTATCCAGGCTAGATGACCAGATATGCCTGTCTCTATTTATTCTACCATGTGTCATATTCCTCTTAGAGGTTCTAAAAAAACAGAAATCCTTTTTAAGTCTAGTATCACTAGGACTCTAAATGTGGAGAGTTAATGTTGATCTCTGAATAGCAAGAGGCATTCAGAAAAATAGTTACTCCAAAACTTAACTGTTTCATAAGAGATTCAGAACTAAAATTGTACATTTGTGAATTTTCTGAAAACAAATTAAGACTTGAAGCTAGTTATGTTTGTAAGAGTCATGAATGATAACATGCTTGTGAGTGATGTTAGCCAAGCCTGTCTGCTTTGTTAGATATCAGTTGTAGATGTAGATCGTGAATTGTCATGCTTTCTGTATAGAGGCTTCTGTAGGCTGTCATGCCTGTGCAATCCAGTAGTGCTTTCTGTGTTCACATAATGTTTGTATAGCTCATTCAGCATATTGTCCCATCAGTGAAGACAGCGGTCATTGTTTCCGAGTTCTGCCTGGTTGGATGACAAGACTACTATAACCACAGGCTTTGATTTGTACTGCTATTGGCTTTTGAATAGTGAAGTATTTTCTAAATGGTCAGTTGGACCCGGTGACTTATGAAAATATCTTGGTGTCATGGGTGTTTTTCAAGGGTGGAATTTGAATTTTATGAAAACATAACCATTGACCGGTGAAAGACCACCACTATTGGCGGGAGGATTGGTGCCTGAATATGACCTGTGACCAGTGTCGGGAAGAAGGAGGGACAACATGCTTTGTTTAATCAGAACTCTTGACTTGAATCCGTGTATTGTAGTGGTATACATGCATACTGGTACTATATATAGTATATATAGCTTGTACAGTAATAACCTCACCCCTGAATGTACCAGTGAATTCTCCCATTATGTTAGGACTATGCACTAATGAGGAAGAGTCCATTTGGATTTGTGGGTGTTTGGGAGTTGAAACTGTCGTTGCCATATTTGAGTACATGTATATGCTAGATATTGGTACATTTACAAATGTAGTTGTGTAAGTGTGTTTGTCTTACAGATTCTCTTGCCTATGATATCGCACAACATTTGCTCAGTATACTACGTTTCTTGTTGCGATTCAATGTATTTTCAACTCTTTTGAAAAATTGCATTGTTTAATTGTTCCTTGTTAAGCCTTTTCCATGTTTAAAATGTCAACAATATTTCTCTTTTATTTCAAATCCATACAAGAACTGTTTTCCTCAAGCAAATAGTCACAATGATTAAGTGCTACAAAAAGCCTACTGTAGTCTTTTTAGTATTAGAATGGTTATTGAAAATATTGCAGTATGAATGTCTGGAAACCTTATTTTTCTTCATAATATATGCCTTTCACTTTTGATTACTTTTTGTGAGCGCTATTGTTTGGTTACTTGTTCGGTTACTTTTTCAGACCTCTGACCTTGCTCACGTTCATGCTCAGCAGGAACTTACCATTCAAGATTGCATTTAAAGGAATGCTTGAGGAAATCTGGTTTTGAATCATGTTTTTCTATGGATTTCTCCATGTATGTGCGTGTTCAATGTTGCATCTCAGGAGTACCATTTTGGCTACATAATACACTCATAAACCATAAAATCAAATAAATCAAACTGTCGGTTTGAAAGCCTCCATACCCGCCAACTTCCCTCCCTCCATTCCTAGCTTCTCTTGACAAAAAGATTTTTCCATCAGATTCAGTTGAAAAGCAACTCACATTGTCATGTCATGTTCAATGTTCAATTCAAAACGGGTACTTGGCATTAAGTCATTTATTTGATTTTGTGGTCTTGAACTTTCTGACGAGCTGGAACCCATACGGGTGCTGTTGGCCATCTTCCGTAGCTTGTATGACTATATTGGAGGGTTGTTTATGTGAATAAGTATCATGCACCAACTGGTCGTGTGGCGTTTCAGCTCGGATGTTTTTACTTTCAATTTCTTGTATTGATGGATGCATTAAGCCAGCATCAGACTAGTTGTGACGAGTCAGGGGCAGAGCTGAAGGAGTTGACACTCAATACAACTGTCATTCATCAATGTAAACCAGCATTCTCCCATACCAACAATTGTGCATGCCATGTCTTTCAAGACAATATCGCCAACTCATCTCTCACCCTCTCCTCCCACTCAACAGTGTTAATCAAAACCCTGCACCTCATTTTTACTTTGACCCCATCATCTCTAGTTGCCATCCATCCATCTACCCTGCCTACACCCATTGCCTGATGGCTGCCTCATTCCAGCAGTGCCTCCATGTTACCGATTTACATGTTCTCCAGCACTTCATTCTGCCCTGCCCTGCCCTGCCCTGCCCTGCCCTGCCCTGCCCTGCCCTGCCCTGCCCTGCCGCGCCCTGCCCACCAGCACAGTCTCAGGTCCCCACCCCCAACCCTATAAAGATCCTGTGGAGGCAACACTTCAGCTGGAGCTGCAGGTCCAGTATCAAATCCTCGACCTACCCCTTCATACCCTGTAAAGATCCTGTGTAGGCAACCCTTCAGTTAAAGGTGCTTGTCCAGTATCAAATCCTCGACCTGCCCCTCAATAAAATAGATCCTGTGTAGGCAAGGCTTCAGCTACAGCTCCTACTTCAGTGTCATATCCTGGTCTTGCCCACATCACTCTGATGCTGTGCAGTCAGCTTCCATCCTTCCTTTTGTAGTAGTGTTCATATAGTGAAGTGAGTCCATTCACTCGGGGGAGGTTCTGTTTGATCCTAGTGCTGCCACCTGGTTGAATTGATGAGCACATCTCCACACCATACCAGTGTAATGATTTCAAGTTTATTGCATGTTTCTGGAATCAGATTAAGTGTCTTGCAAGAACTATCATGCAAAGAATACATGTTACACTGTCATTGTTTTGCTCCAAATAATATAATTTATACCAGTTAGTGACTTTTTATTTTAATGTTAAGTGCAACATCATTCACCCAACTAAGTGGCAGCATAGAATCAAGGGGAGAGAACCAGCCTGATCTCTTGTTTATTATTTGACGTATTATGAAACGGGTGCCATAGATGTTAGGCAGCTTATGCAGCATTTCTGCCTCTCCTTATGATTTGTTGTTTCTTCTTATTTACTATATTTGTGACTGCTTGATTTGCTGTCTGTACGTCTCACCTTGTGATGGGGACCATGTTTGGCTTCTATAGAAATTTGGCCTCATTGAAAGCTCTCCTATGTCTTAACACTGCTGACTTTAATTCTATATTTATGAAACAATTCAGGGATGATATGATTGACTTGAAGTCACCAGTGTTTGGTCAGTGTTTTTATTTTGGTATTTATTGTTTTTGCAGATATTGACAGCAAATCAAGCTTATCTTGTACACCTTGTAGTTTTGTGTGCTTCACTATTATTTTGTCCTCAAAAACATGAGGTTCTACATATGCTTTGCAAGGAACATTAGGATAAGAAATATTTGAAGTTAAGAAATTATAATTGTAAGGCATAAAAACTTGATCTGGTATTAATTGTGTTTGCAGAAATGAATGTTTTATGCTATGTTGTTGAGCTCAAAAAGAAAATTAGGATTTAATCAGAAAATTTAATCAGAACTTCGTGTTTTTGACATATTTAACATTCTGCACCTAAAGGGCATTCAACTTGTACCAAGCTTATGGTGAAGGTTGTTAACTGTACTGCTGTTTCATCCAGTGGAGGAAGTTAACTCACTCACACATTGATATGCTTTAACAATGTGCACCATCATGTAATCACTGTATGTGCTTTCAATGTTGGAGCCCTTTAAGTACAAATAATGTTGATTAGAGTGATTGTATATATTCTAAATTCAAGGTATGCATCCTTATGTGTGGATACATTAAGAAAGATAAAACTGTTGTCTGTATTCAGCTGACGTGTAGTAATTCTTTCGGAGTCTACCTCATGTTACTACTTCAGGGTGTGCACGGGCAGTTGTTTCAGGTTTCAACAGGGAAAAGATAGGGACTTGTTGACAACCTTGTCACATCCCTCATTTGATGAATTTTATTATTGAATGTCACTCTTAGTTTTATATAGGTTTTAGTTTGTATTACTCTTAGGGATCAGCTAACACTGTAGTTTTTAATATTGTTATTACTATGATAAATGTGCATTTTGCTGCCTCACTCGGTATTTACATTTATTGTTACTTGTAATAGTTAACAACATAAAGTTACTCTTAACCATCTTCTTGTGTTGTGTTTTCATGGTCCATGCCTATAGTGCATTTCGATGTTTGTGCTTCATTTAATAGATTCATTTGTCACAAAGACTGTGAGAGAGACCAGTTGAATGTCATAGTTGGCACTGTCACTCCGACATGACTACAGCAGGCTGCACCATGGCATTAGACCTGAAGCAGGCCACCTGTTCTGTTCATTGACTCATTTATGGTGGGAATCGACACATGCACTCATTCTAGAGGTAGCGTCATGTTACAGCTGCTGTTGTAACCGTTGATGGATGTTCTTAAAGACACAGGAAAGTGCCACCCAAGAACTATGTTAAGACTGGCTTTGGTGTTGAACTGATGCCACACAACCCTATATTGAGACAGGCTCAGGTGTTGAACTGATGCACCACAACCCTATGTTGGGACAGGCTCAGGTGTTGAACTGATGCCACACAACCCTATGTTGGGACAGGCTCAGGTGTTGAACTGATGCCACACAACCCTATATTGAGACAGGCTCAGGTGTTGAACTGATGCACCACAACCCTATGTTGGGACAGGCTCAGGTGTTGAACTGATGCCACACAACGCTATATTGAGACAGGCTCAGGTGTTGAACTGATGCCACACAACCCTATGTTGGGACAGGCTCAGGTGTTGAACTGATGCCACACAACGCTATATTGAGACAGGCTCAGGTGTTGAACTGATGCCACACAACGCTATATTGAGACAGGCTCAGGTGTTGAACTGATGCCACACAACGCTATATTGAGACAGGCTCAGCTGTTGAACTGATGCCACACAACCCTATGTTGGGACAGGATCAGCTGTTGAACTGATGCCACACAACGCTATGTTGGGACAGGCTCAGGTGTTGAACTGATGCCACACAACGCTATGTTGGGACAGGCTCAGGTGTTGAACTGATACCAGACAATCCTCTGTTGAGACAGGCTCAGGTGTTGAACTGATGCCACACAACCCTATGTTGGGACATGCTCTGGTGTTGAACTGATGCCACACAACCCTCTGTTGAGACAGGCTCAGGTGTTGAACTGATGCCACACAACCCTATGTTGGGACAGGCTCAGGTGTTGAACTGATGCCACACAATCCTATGTTGAGACAGGCTCAGGTGTTGAACTGATGCCACACAACCCTATGTTGGGACATGCTCAGGTGTTGAACTGATGCCACACAATCCTCTGTTGGGACATGCTCAGGTGTTGAACTGATGCCACACAACGCTATGTTGGGACAGGCTCAGGTGTTGAACTGATGCCACACAACCCTATGTTGGGACAGGCTCAGGTGTTGAACTGATGCCACACAACCCTATGTTGAGACAGGCTCAGGTGTTGAACTGATGCCACACAACCCTATGTTGAGACAGGCTCAGGTGTTGAACTGATGCCACACAACCCTATGTTGGGACAGGCTCAGGTGTTGAACTGATGCCACACAACCCTATGTTGGGACAGGCTCAGGTGTTGAACTGATGCCACACAACCCTATGTTGGGACAGGCTCAGGTGTTGAACTGATGCCACACAACCCTATGTTGGGACATGCTCAGGTGTTGAACTGATGCCACACAACCCTATGTTGGGACAGGCTCAGGTGTTGAACTGATGCCACACAACCCTATGTTGGGACAGGCTCAGGTGTTGAACTGATGCCACACAACCCTATGTTGGGACAGGCTCAGGTGTTGAACTGATGCCACACAACCCTATGTTGGGACAGGCTCAGGTGTTGAACTGATGCCACACAACCCTATGTTGGGACAGGCTCAGGTGTTGAACTGATGCCACACAACCCTATGTTGGGACAGGCTCAGGTGTTGAACTGATGCCACACAACCCTATGTTGGGACACGCTCAGGTGTTGAACTGATGCCACACAACCCTATGTTGGGACAGGCTCAGGTGTTGAACTGATGCCACACAATCCTATGTTGAGACACGCTCAGGTGTTGAACTGATGCCACACAACCCTATGTTGGGACAGGCTCAGCTGTTGAACTGATGCCGAACAACCCTATGTTGGGACAGGCTCAGCTGTTGAACTGATGCCACACAACCCTATGTTGGGACAGGCTCAGGTGTTGAACTGATGCCACACAATCCTATGTTGGGACAGGCTAAGCTGTTGAACTGATGCCACACAATCCTATGTTGAGACAGGCTCAGGTGTTGAACTGATGCCACACAACCCTATGTTGGGACAGGCTCAGGTGTTGAACTGATGCCACACAATCCTATGTTGGGACAGGCTCAGCTGTTGAACTGATGCCACACAATCCTATGTTGAGACAGGCTCAGGTGTTGAACTGATGCCACACAACCCTATGTTGGGACAGGCTCAGGTGTTGAACTGATGCCACACAATCCTATGTTGGGACAGGCTCAGCTGTTGAACTGATGCCACACAATCCTATGTTGAGACAGGCTCAGGTGTTGAACTGATGCCACACAACCCTATGTTGGGACATGCTCAGGTGTTGAACTGATGCCACACAACCCTATGTTGGGACATGCTCAGGTGTTGAACTGATGCCACACAATCCTATGTTGAGACACGCTCAGGTGTTGAACTGATGCCACACAACCCTATGTTGGGACAGGCTCAGGTGTTGAACTGATGACACACAACCCTATGTTGGGACATGCTCAGGTGTTGAACTGATGCCACACAACCCTATGTTGGGACAGGCTCAGGTGTTGAACTGATGCCACACAACCCTATGTTGGGACAGGCTCAGGTGTTGAACTGATGCCACTTAACCCTATGTTGGGACAGGCTCAGGTGTTGAACTGATGACACACAACCCTATGTTGAGACACGCTCAGGTGTTGAACTGATGCCAGACAACCCTATGTTGAGACAGGCTCAGGTGTTGAACTGATGCCAGACAACGCTATGTTGGGACAGGCTCAGGTGTTGAACTGATGCCACACAACCCTATGTTGAGACAGGCTCAGGTGTTGAACTGATGCCACACAATCCTATGTTGGGACAGGCTCAGGTGTTGAACTGATGCCACACAACCCTATGTTGGGACATGCTCAGGTGTTGAACTGATGCCACACAACCCTATGTTGGGACAGGCTCAGGTGTTGAACTGATGCCACACAACCCTATGTTGGGACATGCTCAGGTGTTGAACTGATGCCACACAACCCTATGTTAAGACAGGCTCAGGTGTTGAACTGATGCCACACAACCCTATGTTGGGACACGCTCAGGTGTTGAACTGATGCCACACAACGCTATGTTGGGACACGCTCAGGTGTTGAACTGATGCCACACAACCCTATGTTGGGACACGCTCAGGTGTTGAACTGATGCCAGATAATCCTCTGTTGGGACACGCTCGGGTGTTGAACTGTCGCCACACAACCCTATGTTGGGACACGCTCAGGTGTTGAACTGATGCCACACAACGCTATGTTGGGACACGCTCAGGTGTTGAACTGATGCCAGACAATCCTCTGTTGGGACACGCTCAGGTGTTGAACTGATGCCACACAACCCTATGTTGGGACACGCTGAGGTGTTGAATGTGATGCCACCTTAGCCTTATGTTGAGATAGACCAAGATGTTGAACCAGTGTAGGAAGGAAACTAGTATTACGAAGTAGCTGGATGCTGTGGAGTCGTATGGATCGTATATGTAGATCATGCCGACTGGAGATCTTTGGTAGAACTTGGGTTCTACAGATGGATCATGCTGACTGTATGACTTGGATCCTACAGCTCGAATGTTGTTGGATATACCTCAAATACTGCTGACAATTGGGCCTGTGTCCAAGAGTTGGAACAAGCTGACTGTAGAACATGGGTCCTATAGCTAGAATATTGCTTATTGTGGTGTTAAGCATTTGCCCACCAAGAAACGTGGAGCACCCAGCATCGAATGAGATTGTGATGTGAATGAAACCTTTTGCAAACTTTTGTTGTTGTTTTGTTTGCTTGTTGTTTAACGCTACACGGAGTAATGTTCCAGCTGTCTGTAAGTAATGGAGTCTGGACTAATCATTGATGTTATGAGCAACGTCCCGCGGCGTTGGGACACAATGACACCCAGTCAGCCAAGTCACGAGCCTGACCTCGATCCATGACATGGCCTTTGCGACAAGCAACGGTTGCTGAGGGCCTGTTCAAACCCGGAACCTCCAGAGGGCTTTGCGTTCGCCACTTCCTGTAGAGATCTGAAGGTAATCTTCAAGCACTAATCTTCACATTCTATTAACCATTCATTGAACATGCATTTTCTGTTATGAGGCCACAGTAGACAAGATAATCAAATACATGACAGTTAAGATAAGTAACATCTTTTAATTATTGACATACTTATCATCAAACGTCAGGGGGCAATTGCCCGTCGTCCAAGGCGTGACAATTGGCTGTGCAGATATATAATCCTTTGGCGGGCCAGAAACGTGTGTTCGAATCCGGTTTGTCGTGATTATGTTTCTAGGTTTGTTCGAGCCATACCGAAAGTGAACGTCTAAGAGTAAAACCTGAATCACTTAGGGCGTTTCTCCTGCACCAAGCTGACAGACCGTGATATAACTGAAATACTGTTCAAAACGGTGTTAAACCAAACTCACGTACTCTTAATATCCGGGAAAATGTGGCTGAAGTAATTGTTTTACAACCGATAAAGCGTGGTTAAAAGGAATTTCACTTGCACTCTATACATCACATTTTGAATTAAAAAACAGAAGATTTGGTCGTTTTAATTAGTAACAAGGAAGTAATCGACAATCCTGGGCACTATTGACATAGGTATATGTTACACCCAATCTGTGAAACTGCCCATTGTGTGCATTGGGCAGACTGTTTGCCCTATGCGTGCAATGAGCAATGCAACTTGCCCAATGCACGCAATTGAAATTGGTATTGTTTTACATGTTTTGATTTTAATAAAGAAAACTCTATTATTGAGATAACAACCAAACAAATATTTGATCGTAAGAATCTGTTTTTTTTCTAAATGAAATCATA